GAGAGAGAGAGAGAGAGAGAGAGAGAGAGAGAGACAGCAGAGAGAGAGACAGAGAGAGAGAGACAGAGACAGAGACACATACACCTCACTCACAATAAATAAATAACTCATTCAGCTTGTACCCTCTCCCCTCTATTTGCTCTCCTTTGGGCATCCTTCCAATTCAGAGATCCAGTCACACAGAGCAGAGGCCTCCATTCCTTCATCAGAAATCTCAGAGAAAGGCATTCCAAATCCCCCTTCCACTTGTGGATATCAGGATGACTGTTTATGCTGTTAACTTATTAAATGTAACGCAAGGTGGCTTTTAAGTGCTGAGAAGAAAGTGAAAACACTTTGTTCTTCTTGGACCAGTACATTAAGAAAATTACAGTGTGGCAGGGACTGAATATGAATGCATGAGTAGTCACCAGCTCCCCTCCCCTTTCCAGGAAGGCATCCTGCTGCATGGTAGCAGCTGAGGCTGCAGAACTGGGCAGGGTAGGAACACTATAGACTCCATGTAAAGGGGTTCACACTTATCTGGGAGAGGAGAAAGAGGGAGGGAGGGAGGGAGAGAGAGAGAGGAGGGCAAGGTAGAGGGGGAGAGACCCCAGTGAGTGGACTGAGAAAGGCTATTAGTGAGCCAGATTTAGGCTGTCCCAAGTATGGTAGTTAGTGCTTTTTGCTTGGGGTTTTATTGATTGATTCTTTTGTTTGAAAATTCAAACTTATTCTTTTTCTTGCTATGGAGACTTCCTTTTGAATGTGTTAACATGGGTCAGTGAGTGGCCTAAATCTGATGCGGGTTACAACGGCAACTATTGTTTGCCCATCAGTTGTGAAATACAGTGTATTCCAGGGAATGTGAGTCCTAGGGGATGCACTGCAGAGGAGGCCTTCTTGGGGAAAAAAAAGAAAGGAAAAGAAAAAAGAAGCCTAGTATTAGAGACCTCACTTTTTTAAGTTCTGAGACATTCTGCAGTAAGCAAATTCTATATTTTTAGGTCCATGTTTTCTGTAAGTAATAGGCATTGAGAACTCAAAGAACTTGTATTTCCATGGAATGCAATTGGTTTGCGCCATTCAAGAATATTCCATTTCACAGAGGTTTCCTCCAATCTACAATGGGGTCCCATACAGTGCACATCTAGTGTAACTTGAGACTGTCTGCTAACTTCAAGTGAGCAGCTGATGGAGGAATCTCTCATAGGAGACTATTCTTTCTTCTTGTCTTGGCAGGAAAGTGGTTGATGTTTTGGAACTAGCTTACATGAGTACCATCACCATCATTTCTCCCGCTGAGTGATCCTGTGAATGTTTTTAACCTCTCCATGTCCCAATTTCCTCATTAGCAAAATGGAGATAATAATAGCCACCCCATAGAGTAATGTACGTAAAGCACTTAACAAGGCAAGCTAACAGATGGTGGCTACTGCTATTATTAAAGAATCCTCTGCACTTTTCAGGAGGGAACAATATATTTGAGAAGATGAGCTTCCTATAAGTGGAGCCTTTACAACAGCTCTGTTCAGGCAACAATCACATCGTACTATAATAGTGTCCTGGACAGTTTTATGTCAACTTGACACAAGCTAGAGTCATCAGAGAGGAGGTAGTCTCAACCAAGAAAATGTTTCCAAAACTAGGAAACAAGGAGGACCCTAAGAGAGACTTACATGGTCCCCCAGAGAAGGGGAAAGGGACAAGATCTCCTGAGATAAATGGGAGCATGGGAGGAGGGGAGAGGGAGTTAGAAGAAAGAGAAGGGGAGAAGAGAAGGGGATAGGAGGACAAGAGAGAACAGAAAGTTTGAGTCAAGGGAATAGGGGAGAGCAAGAAAAGAGATACCATAATAGAGGGAGCCATTATAGGTTTAAAGAGAAATCTGGCTCTAGGGAAATGTCCAAATATCTACAAGGTTAACCCCAATCAACAATCTAAGCAATAGTCAAGAGGCTACTTTAAATGTCCTTCTGTTGACTGATGACTACCTTATATGCCATCCTAGAGCCTTCATACATTAGCTGATGGAAGCAGAAGCAGACACCCACAGCTAAACACTGAGCTGAACCCTGGAACCCAGTTGCAGAGAGGGAGGAGTGATGAGTAAAGGGGTCATGACAAGACTGGAGAAACCCACAAGGACAGCTGACCTGAACAAGGGGTTGCTCATGGACCCCAAACTGATAGCTGGGAAACCAGCATAGGCTGTTCCAGACCCCCTGAACTAGGATGTCAGTTTGGAGGTCTGGTTTATCTATGGGGCCTCTGGATCAGTATTTATCCCTAGTACATGAATGAACATTGGGAACCCATTCCACATAGAGGCATACTCTCTTAGCCTAGACAAACAGGAGAGGGTCTAGGCTCTGCTCCAAATTATATGGCAGCATTTGAAGATCCCCCATTGAAGGCTTCACCCTCCCTAGGATGCAGAAAGGGGATGGGATAGGGAGTCGGTGGAGGGCAGGGGAGGAGGGAAGGGTGAGGGAACTGGGATTTACATGTAAAAGAAGCTTGCTTCTAATTTAAATTTTAAAAAAGGAAAAAAAAAAGAGAAAATGTCCCCATAAGATGGGGCTGTAGGCAAGCCTGTAGGATGTTTTCTTAGTGATTGATAGGGTAAAGCCCAGCCTGTTGTAGGTGGTGCTAATCCCTGGGCTATGGTCCTGGGTTCCAAAAGAAAGCAGGCTGAGCAAGTCATGGAGAGCAAGCCAGTAAGTGGCACCCCTCCATGGCTTCTGCATCAGCTCTTGCCTCCAGGTTCCTGCCCTATGTGAGTTCCTGTCTTCACTGCTTTTGATGATGAAATGTTATACAGAACTGTGAGTGAAATGAACCCTTTCCTCCCCAAGTTGCTTTTGGTTATGGTGTTCCATCACAGCAGTAGTAGGCCTAACTAAGTCAAACAGTGTGGCCATGGTGGATCCAAAACTCCTAGAAGGCAACTTGTGGACCCCTGTAGCCAGGTCTCAGAGGGTGCACAGTGAATATTTGTTGAGTGGTTTTCAGGAAATCCAAACAAGTTGACTCGGCAGTAAGTTTCACCTAATCTCAAGGAAGGACAATCAGAGCTGGCTTTAGAGATACAAGGAGAAGCAGGGAATGAAGTGGTAAAGGCAGTCCTTGGGCAAATAGGGACAATGCAATTATAATATTGGGGAATCAACAAGGGTAAAAACCATGTGTCCTGTGTCTCAGTAGATAAAACATAGCCACAGTTTGTGGACCAGTATGGGGACAAGCATTGCATGGCATGACTCCTAACATCCTGGTTATCCAAGAAACTAGAAGAGGTACCCATAAGTGAGGACACCCCAATTAATCACCAAGCTATGTCATTTGTCCCCAACCTTTCCTATCATTATGAAAGGTGATTCCAAACACATGACACAAACTACCTGCAAAGGCCCCTCTTTTGCTTACCCTGTCCTAGGAAGCATATAAAAATGCAATTAAGGTAGAGTGATGCTGTTAAGGCAGTGACCTTGAAATCACTTTAATTTTTTCTTTAGAGAATTGCTTGTGAATTCTAGTCCTTTTCTGTCATTCATAGCAAATGCTAATGAACACATCTCAGTGCCCCTTGTGTTTGTTGCAATATGACATTTAAGAATAAGAAGTCTGGTCATTGCCAGCAAAGACCCCTTTTTATCTGAGACTGTGAGGCTACATTCCTTCGCCAAGTGCTCATGAAGGGGCCCTGGTTGTCAAGGCAGGAGGAAGGATTAGACATTTGTGTACCAGACTCCCAGCTACACATTAGACTCACCTCACCAGTGAAATCTGTTGACATACCTGAGAGGGGAAAATCACTGAGAAGGGCCACTATCAAGATGTTTGGAGAACTGAAATATTAAGCAGGGGTTCCTCCATCTGAGATGCTGACTCTGTGAATCTTGGTGTGAGGGGTAACTCAGCATCGTGGTTTTCCAAATGGCAAAACCTTCATTTTCATTTTTAGGGAAGGGTATCTGGTTGCCATTCTGCCATTAACTCCTACATGATCTTTGTGTTGTAGCCTGTCCTGCGGGGACCTTCAAGGCCAGCCAGGAAGCTGAAGGCTGCTCCCACTGCCCCTCCAACAGCCGCTCCCCTTCAGAAGCATCTCCCATCTGCACCTGCCGGACTGGCTATTACCGAGCAGACTTTGATCCCCCAGAAGTGGCGTGCACTAGTAAGTGTTTAGTAATGGCTGTGGGCTGGGGAGTCTGATTACAAATGGTGGACCTGGAGCAGGGGAGAGAGCAGGTCAACCTTCCAAGGAAATGCTAAGTGGAGTGCTAGCCGTGGTGCTGAAACGGGGGCTCTCTTTTTCTCAAGTGCATATCTTTGGTTAAGACTGAATATTTTTATGCTCATCTTTCCAGATGTGAGGGCCTTTCTTTCACACACCTCTAAGATAACCTCTTCCCACAAAAATTTAAAACTATTCTTTGTGTGAAAAATCAAGACACACTCTTCAATGTGTCTTCTCAGTGTCTGCTTCCCTGGAAGTTCTCATAGTTTTATTAATTGTCCATTTACTTTGTAATTGCCTTAGCTACAAACAGAAAATCCTTGAGTGTCAGGTCTAAGTATTCCTCCTCTTTGTCCCTTGTAGTGTTCAGCATCTGAGCTTCAGCCAAATATCAAGACCAGAAGCCTTGCTACACTGTCCATCTCAGTACACTAAATTCTAGAAGCTTGGGGTTAATGTGTCAGCCATATCCACTCGTCCATTATCTCTGGTGGAAAGAAAAAGCAGCCATTTTTCTAAAAGCAGAGGGACAGCTACACTCTCCAGGCAGGGAGAGGATAATTTCCCTCTGGTCCTGTCTCCCAAAAGCACGGGAGGCAAGGAAAATGGTCTCCCTGAACAGCACTTTACACAACTTTTCCTTCTCTAAGTGTTAAAGCCCTGAAGCAGGGATGATCGCTTCTCAGTATTCCCATTGCATTCTGGGATCAATACTGCAGGTTAGCCTGTAATCAGACTAGAACTTTCTTCTGCACTAGGTGCTTTGGTGTGGCTCACTGTGAGCAGGTACCTCTCCTTACACCCCTTAGACCAGTTCCCTCTCATCCCAATGAAGAGGCCCACAGAGGTATATTTCATACACACTTTTAGTTTGATGGACAAAAAAAAAAGTGAACTGGACTGGGTAGAAGAATTTCTCAGTCCAGGCCTTGTAGCATATGTAACCTTTGCTGGATGCAGAGCAGAAAAGAAAGTGTCTTCTAGATCAAGGTCCTGAGCTCAATCGATGCTTATAGATTTGAGGTGAGGAAAAGCTCGTCGTCGTCGGCATTGTCGTCTTGTAAACTGGTTTTCCCTGCCTTCTTTCTCAGGTGGGTGGAGATGAACAGAAATGATCCCTCTCCTGCTGCCCTGAGTCCCCATCTTTGTGTAGTGTTGTCTCCTTCTCTGATTTCTAAGTGCTCCTCACCTCACCCCAGATGGCAGTCTTCCATGGACCCCCCCAAAGCAATATTTAGCATGCTTCTTTAGATTCCAATAAGGATGCCTGATCACTCTACTACCTACATGGCCAGATCAAACACCAATCTACACAATAGCCAAGGCATCCACCCAGGCTCTGGCTGCTTCTCTCCTGGAAGCATTGCCATGCTCATAACTCTTCCCTCTGGCCAGGCTTCCTCTACAGATCAACTCATCCATATGGTCCCTTAGCTTTCCACTCCAGGAGACAAACTGTCAACCCATCAATCTCATGATAAGGTTATCTGGAAGAAGTCAGGACAATGACCAGGGGCTCAGTTTGTAGATGTGTTTCCGTCTTCTCCTACTTATTTACCAAAGCTTATCTTTCAGCCTCCATTCCTGATGGACATGAGTCTATTGGATCAGTTACTGGGAAAAATATGAACATTACAATGCCCCTAGTTTGACCACAGAAGCTTCTTATTCCATACTACCATACAATATCCCAAGACCATCTTTAAGTTAGACCACACAGGCTTTTCCCTCCTCCCTCTGGTCCAGTCAGCTCTGGAATATTCAACAGTGGGGTGCCACTATTCTCTCCTATTCTTATTTCAATGGTGAGGGAGCATGCCACCCTGGCTATTTCACCTCTGCATACCCCTTGTCTTGTGCCTCCAGACATAGAGGGAAGGCTCAGACTAGAAACTGCTAAACCAAAACACACATGACTATGGCAGGAAGGGCAAAGAACAGCTCCTGGACATGTTGCCCCTCATCCTGGGGGGGCAAGCATTTGGTGAGGAGACTCAGGAGACAGGACATGGGTACAACACAATGCTAGGCAAAACATGTATAAATAAAGCTATATTTTCCCTGAGCCTCATTATATATTTGATTTATTGTGTGCCAGGGAAGTACTGTATGAAAAAGTCAATTTGTTGGCTTTCATATTCTCATTAGGGTTTCCTTTAAAAGCATTCTAATTGGAGGTGCCATCTGTTCTCTTAAAAAGGCACAGCACATCACCACAGTAAATAATTTTTCAGATACAAGGAGAATTTCTAGAGCTGTTGAAGAAAGACACAGCCCTGTACTGTGTGGCCTTAGGGCTCCTAGCTAGCCTGACACGTCTAGTGAGACAAGTGTGTAGGAGCCTGAGCCCGGCTGGTGGAGGCTTGGGGCTGGGAGAACTGGTTCACCTTGGAAAATCAAGACTTCATCTGTCCTAGCAGGAAGCAACTAGAGCCCACCCAGGCACTAAAGATAAAGAGCTGTCTTTATAAATGTATGGGGACAGGGAACACCTGCCATGCCCTGGTGCTGTGATCCAGAGAACAGAGCAGACAGGAGAGTCCAAGAGCTGGCCAAGGCCTCCAGTGTGGAAGGGCCTCAGATCTAGCTTGTGTCCATTGTCTTCAAGTGAGATTACACCAGCAGTCCACTCTTCCCCAGCAAGCATTTTACAAATATATTTATAAAAAAATTGTAAATGTAAAATATGCTTCTTGCAAGATTACAACACCTATACTGTACTAAGGATTATTATTATATTTTCAATACTAAAGACTGAACCTATGGCCTCCTTGCTAGACAAACACACTACCTCTGACTAATGTTTTTATCTCTGCTCTCTGATCTGCTTTTTTTTTTAAACCTGGGTCTAATTAAGCTGCCAAAGCATGTTTGTGGTAATGCTCCTGCCTCAGCCTTC